ATAGACTTCTTGAGTGATCTAAAAAGCAAAATGAATACTTTAGTACCCAGGGTACCAAAAAAGTGTCCCAGAACTCCTGTTTTCACCCTACTGTTATTGCTGTATGTATATGTATCTTGAGATAGTTATATTATACGGTTAAACAAGTAACCGATTAAAAACTTTTTCTGGTGCCAATTAAGACTTGAAAGTGAATATTCAAGTTCTTATAATTCAGTATTAAGTTTATCACAGTGAAAACTTCCACACATTTGTTCTTGGATTTCAGCTGATCTAATCACTAGTTGCACAAGAGCAGTATAAATATTCATCTTTTTTTAAGACTATATTTTTTCAGTTTTGAGTTGCTTTTTTTCATGAGTTCTCTTTTTCTTTTTTTTTGCTTTTTCTGTTGTTGGAGTTATCTATTTCGGTGCTTCATAGTTGGAGTCACTCATTCAAGTACATATTCTTTGTCATTGGAGTTGTCTAGTCAGGTGTTTTTTTACTACCTTTCATGATCAAATCGGTTCTTAGGGAAGTGTATAGTTTCTTTTTCTGTTTGTAACTTGCTTTTTGCTTTTTCTTGTTGAGTATTAACACTTCTGGGTGTTTTTCTTTCGAGTTCTCGTTGTTGGTGTCGTCTATTTTGGTGCTTCATAGTTGGAGTCGCTCATTCAAGTACATATTCTTCATCATTGGAGTCGTCTAGTTAGATGTTTTTTTACTACCTTTCATAATCAAATCGGTTTTTAGAGAAGTATATAGTTTCTTTTTCTGTTTGTAACTTGCTTTTTGCTTTTTCTTGTTGAGTATTAACACTTCTGGGTATTTTTTTTTCGAGCTCTCGTCGTTAGTGTCGTCTATTTCGGTGCTTTATAGTTGAAGTCGATCATTCAAGTACATATTCTTCATCATTGGAGTCGTCTAGTTAGGTGTTTTTTTACTACCTTTCATGATCAAATCGGTTCTTAGGGAAGTGTATAGTTTCTTTTTTTGTTTGTAACTTGCTTTTTGCTTTTTTCTTGTTGAGTATTAACACTTCTGGGTGTTTTTCTTTCGAGTTCTCGTTATTGGTGTTGTCCATTTCGGTGCTTCATAGTTGGAGTCACTTATTCAAGTGCATATTCTTTGTCGTTAGAGTCGTCTAGTTAGATGTTTTTTTACTACCTTTCATGATCAAATCAGTTCTTAGAGAAGTGTATCCCTTAAATTGTTTTGCAGCCAAATTTGCCTGCAAACTTTTTTAAATTTTAAAATTTTTTAATAAAATTTTA